CGGGGAGCGAGCGGGCGGGCGGTGCTGGGGGGAGAGCGGCGCAGAGCGGAGCCCAGTGCTCACCTGCGGCCGCGCGGCTCACCTGCTACGGAGCGCGCCCCGCGCCTCCCTGCCCAACCCGCCTGGGGCCGCCGCCCTCTCCGCTGCGGGCACAGCGCCGACATGCGACAGGAGTAGCCCGTGCGCTTCGGAAGCGGCGAAGGAGCCCCCTCGGCCCGAGCAAGCAAAGGTGACCCCCTCGATCCCTCTCCCGCCCCTGCCCCAGCCCTCGCGTCGGTCCCCCACGTCCGCCGCACTACCCCAGCCCGAAGGGAACGCAACAGTGCATGGGCATCCGTTTGTGTGTCCGTCTGTCTCTGCACCTCCATCTGCACACACCTGCCTTTTGTGGCCCTCCCTGGCTGCTCCGTGCACACTGGGGAGTCGGGACCCCGCTTTGTTCTGGTCGGTGCTGGAGGGTGTGCACGCGCGAAGGATGAGTTTGGAGGGTGGGAGTTGGAGGCTATTTACATATTCCATCGAGGATGGCGGCCCGGCCCCGTGGCCGCCGCGTGGTGGGGTCTGCAGCTGCCCAGATGTGAAACAGTTGTGTCTTCAGCATGCAAGAAGTGGTTCTCAGATGTGCGTCCCATGCCTCCGCGAGTCGGTGTGTGCTTGCCTCGCCCACCCTCGTGTTTGGAGTCCTGCCCGAGACCAAGCTGCATTTTTGTGGCGGGGTTTAATCCACGGAGACTTTGGCTTTTGTTTTATTTCACCACGGTGTATAATTCCCAGGGTTTGTGATATTTGAGACTTGATATCTGAGTCGGGGTTGGCTTTCTGCGTGTGTGTGTGTGTGTGTGTGTGTGTGCGCGCGCGCGTGTGCTGTGCTGTGTTGTGTTTCTGCGTGGTATTGGATTGTTGCTCTGCTGTGCCTAAACATTAAAAAGCCTGTCTTTTCGTTGAAGAGGACAGGGGTTAAAATGAATGAAGACCTGAAGGTCAATTTAAGCGGGCTGCCTCGGGAGTATTTAGATGCTGCTGCTGCGGAGAACATCTCAGCCGCTGTCTCCTCCCAGGCTCCTGATGCGGAGCCAGAGCCTGAGCTCGTAGTCAACCCCTGGGACATTGTCCTGTGCACCTCGGGAACCCTCATCTCCTGTGAAAATGCTGTTGTGGTCCTTATCATCTTCCACAACCCCAGCCTGCGAGCACCCATGTTCCTGCTGATAGGCAGCCTGGCGCTTGCAGACCTGCTGGCCGGCGTCGGACTCATCATCAATTTTGTTTTTGCTTACCTGCTTCAGTCGGAAGCCACCAAGTTGGTTACCATCGGACTCATTGTCGCCTCCTTCTCTGCCTCTGTCTGCAGCTTGTTGGCTATTACTGTGGACCGCTACCTCTCCCTCTATTATGCTCTGACTTACCATTCTGAGAGGACAGTCACCTTTACCTATGTCATGCTGGTCATGCTCTGGGGGACCTCCATCTGCCTGGGGCTGCTGCCAGTCCTGGGCTGGAACTGCCTCCGGGACGAGTCCACATGCAGTGTGGTCAGACCCCTGACCAAGAACAATGCTGCCATCCTTTCCGTCTCTTTCCTCTTTATGTTTGCACTAATGCTTCAGCTCTACATCCAGATCTGTAAGATTGTGATGAGGCATGCCCATCAGATAGCTCTGCAGCACCACTTCCTGGCCACATCACACTATGTAACCACTCGGAAAGGGGTCTCTACCCTGGCTCTCATCATGGGGACCTTTGCTGCTTGCTGGATGCCTTTTACACTCTATTCCTTGATAGCAGATTACACCTACCCCTCCATTTACACCTACGCTACCCTCCTGCCCGCCACCTACAACTCCATCATCAACCCTGTCATATATGCTTTCAGAAACCAAGAGATCCAGAAGGCCCTCTGCCTCATTTGCTGTGGCTGCATCCCACCCAGTCTGTCCCAGCGAGCACGGTCGCCCAGTGATGTGTAGCAGCCTTCCACCTAAGAGGACACTGCCTGTGACAAGCACTTCCACTGCCGCCAAATGGTTGACTCGCTTCCTTTAAGTTGTTTGCATTGGATTCACACTCAGCCACCAGAGCACTTAGCATTGGTGAAACAATGACATCATTTAGATGAATTAAATGATTAAACTGAAAATAATGCTACCAGTGTTGTCACCCTTAAAAAAAAAAAGTCGGCCTTTCTGTTCAATATTCTTTTGTTTTGTTCAGGAGTGGCTTTATATTTTGTTTGGGGGGTTGGGGGTTCTTTGAAAAGAAAGAATATGACCTGATCATATTATGAAGTTTTAAGTAAATAAGTGTCAGAGTTTTTACCTGGACTTTCAAATAAATCTGAGGAAGGAATTACTTTTCTCAGCCTTTTTTTGAAAAAATCAAGGTAGATTTTCAATGCTGCATGGATCTAACAGAATATGATCTTTTGTAAGCCAACAAAAATAATTTACATAATTATATGTGGAAGGAACCTGGTTTTATTAGCATGCATTCAGTCATAAATTACCAACACTGAAACCATGAACACATTCTGATTTATTCTTGCTTTCAGCAATTACTGATCAGAAGAACTACCTTCTCCTTTCTATAAACATTGCAACTCCTTCTGCATGGTTGCCTGTGTTAGCTAGACCACCACTTTCAAATGTTGCCATGTTAATCCAGAATTAAGGTAGCCATTTGTCACTAGTTTTTCAATATGTCCTTTCTAAAATGAATCATGGAATAGGTCTTGATTTGCATATGAAGTAGGATTGATTAGGTCCATCATTGTAGTTTCTTAAGCTACAGTCTGATTGTTTTTGAGGCAACAAAAGAAAATAAAAATATCTATTCAAAGTAGATTAAATTTATTTTAATATATTCTGAAAGTTAATATGCCACTATCATGGAATATGCAAATATCACATTTTCTATCTCTAAGAATATACTAATAATAGTTATTCTTGAGTGAGACAGATAAAACTAAATATTAAAATCAAAATTTTCTGGTTCATATCATCACTATTGTAGAATGCATTTAAATTAGATGTTCTCCTGTCTTAGTAACTAAGTTTGTGAGTATGCAACATAAACATGACTGTGGTATTTACCAGCTATATCTTACAAGTTCACAAGCAGAGTAACCAAGTTTAGTAATGAAAAGCTATGTTTCAATTCCTTTTTACTACAAAACAAAAATTTTTAAAAACCCTTAAATATAATAAAACCTATATTAGAAAGCAAAGATTTGGGTGGAAATGACACGGGATTGACTCTAAACATGTAAAGTCACCACTTCTGTAACAGAAATGTCACTTCTGTTAGTGGAGACTGATGTAGACACAGACACTATCTGTCCATCTGCAGTGGATTTATAGCTGTGCCTCTACAACCAGTGGAAGAATTTCTGGACAGTGTATCAACTTCAATGTTAGAAAAACCAAGGACTCAGGGTTCTTAGGGGGAATTGTTGGTAATAAGTTATCCTCACTGGTTTGCTCTAGATATCTTGCCCACTATGGTCACGGGCCATCTGGTAGCCTGTATGCTGATCCATTTCTCCAAAGCTTCTTCTAATGTAGCACTAATATGACTAAATCCTCTACTTGAATCTTTCTCTTCCCTGAGGTCACCTATGGAAACAAGAAAAGTACTGAAATGTTTAAGAAGTGGGCAAGAATCAGCAATGCTTATTACTGTATGATAAGCCTAATCAAGTTGGTGCCTTGCCTTTAAAACATTTTTTGGAACACTGGATGGACTTGGCAAATTGAATGTGAGTCTGTTGTTAATCACTTATTTTTTTTTAATTTATGTATTTGGTACAGAGTCTCAGTACACAGCCCGGACTCATATAGTGATTTTCCTGTTTTCAGCCTCCCCAATGAGAGGATTGCAGGCATGTGCCACCACACCTGGCCTCAGTGGCTGGCTCAGTGCACCCAGGGGTGGGGCTGGTGCAGCATGTGGTGCCAGGGATCGAACCCTGGTCCCTGAGCTTGTTTAAGCAGATTCTTAGTTCTCTAAGCTATCTCGCCAGCCCTAATCACTTAAAATTTAATAGCACCTCTCCATGAGAGAATTGACAAAGGGAAGAGAAATATGCTTAATGAGGGCTTAAAGCAATAAATGATGCTTTTGTAGACACAGTGGTTCCCCTTTTCATGTCTCAATAGTAATAATTATAAGGATAACTATTCAAACAGTTTTTAGCAATATGTGTGCCAGTTTTTTACTATAGTCACAAAACAGCACTTTTGCAGGTGAAGAAACTAAGGCCTGGAGGAGAGGAATATCCTGAGGCCACAAAGCCACAGAGCAAAGCCAGGTTTTGTAGCCAGGTTTTCTGAAATTTAAGTCTTGCTTTCTGCCTGCATAATGCCATCTTTTATCCCTCCTGAAAAGAAGGCAGATGAAAAACTGCTTCCTAACTTGTAACTGTCACAAAATTGTGGTTCTATAATGAAGACATAAAGCTTCCTGTTTAAAATTACATGTAGAGTGATGGTGCAGCTATACGTGAAGGGTGTCCATTTGTATCTTGCTCAATACAGAACCAATTCAGTGCTGGCTTTCATCTCATGATTTAAAAATACCCAATTTCAGCTAACACACTTTTTTCCAGTCTGCTACAACATGACCTTATTATTGCAATCATGAGGATTTGGGGATGTTTGTGTGATTTCCTAAAAGGCTTTGTGTTTGTAAAAATTATTATGAGATTTGCATACATCCCTCTGTATGTGTGTGCTTTTGTGTGCTTGGGTATAGGCTTACATATATTCAATAACTTGAACTCTGCAACAGGACCCAGTGTATCATGGAAAAAAGTCTTATTTCCAGAAGCCCTGAGGTGGTAAATAATATTTATTTATTTATTTATTTATTTTATACTGGGAATTGATTTCAGGGCCTTGTACTGACCTTTATCACTAGGTCTTTTTGTTTTTTTTAATTTGTTAATTTTGAGATAGAATCTCACTAATTTGCTAAATCACCCAGGCCACACTCAAACTTGGCCACACTCAGTATCCCAGGATCTGAGATTGTAGCCTGTGCCACCACACTTGGCTAGCAGGTAACCTTTTACTCCAGGAAATTACAATTTCTGATTACCACAGAATTTGTTATTTATTTATTAATTATGTTACTTTATTTTCCATAGAAATGGTTGTCGTTGTATCTAGGACAATTTAGGTATCTTATTAGAACCCTTCGTTGAAGTTCATTACTCAAGTTGTGGCTGTTCAGTGTTTGGTTTCTTTTTATTCTTTTAACTATTTGCATGGATTGGTCAAGTTTTGCTTGTTTGTTTGGGACTGAACCCAGGAGTGCTGAGCATGCTAGGCAAGTGCTCTACCACGGCGCGCTTTGCGCAGCTTAGGTTTGTTTCTTGAACATGCAGAGAACAGGCTTTCTTCCTGGTATCTTGAGTGGAAGAAGACAGAGTCCCTCTTTCCTTGCCATGCTGAATTAAGGGCCCCGGCAGAGAAGGGCAGAAGAAGGATTCTCCTGTTGAAGTCTTAGATTCCCCTCAGACTGAAACAAAATTTAAATAAGTTCAAATGTGATAAGGAACAGAGACATTCAGTGCCAATGAAAACATTTAGGAGAATTTTTTAACTTTTTTGAAAAAGAAATAATCCGTTATTAAAATAATGATTCCCTTTATTTCATGGTTGTGTATTTGTCTGATAAAGTTAGGATTACGATTTTGTACTTCAGATTCTAAGTACATATTAAATAAGTGACTACTGTGGTGTTATTTTGAACAATATTTAAATTTACACCTTGATTGTATGCCCATTATAATAAAGGAAAAGACTGCCTTCTTGTCCCCTTTAAAAATGTCATTGATTATTGAATCATTTTAGTATCTAGTTGGAAACTTTAAATCATCTTATAACTTTAAGAATCACTGCATTAATGGTTTTATACATCATAGCTTTAATTAGCAGATATATTTCTTTCTAGAAAACAATGCGGAAAAAAATAGACATTTTACTAGGACTCCTACATCATTCAGTACTTAAAAAGGCTATGAATCGCCTGGAATCTTGTTAGAATGCAGGTTCTGTATCAGTGACCTGGGCCTGGCTGGGTGCTGCCTGGCTTCTCAGTGGCGCTGGAGACAACGGTCTAAACACTTTGAGTCCCAAGGGTAAGTGTCCCATTTTTAGCATTCTTCAGATATAAATATAATGTGTTAATGTTATATAGATAAATACATATTTAAAGGTTATTTTGCCAGAGGTTAACAGAAAATCTGTCTGGGTTTTCTAGGGTTTTTCAGCGTGTATCTGGCAGAGATCTGTAAGTGTATTTTTTTCCTTTGTTGCTGTTCTCATTTTAAAATTCTTAATTGGCATTATTTTACGAGAGTTCTTTTAAACACTTCACCGATGTGGAATGCATTTCTATATACGTTGGATACGCACACCTCACAAGTTTTCACCTCATTTTTCAATTAGAGTTTTCAGTTATAGATATTAATGCATGTAAGTTATACAAATTATGAATTTCACTGAGCCATTTTCATATGTGCATGTACTGTGTTTTGGTCATCTCCATTCTCCTTCCTACCCTCTCTCCCACCTCCTTTTACCCCCTTCCTCTTCCCTAGAAGTCCTACTTTTGGACCATCTTTTTTATTTGTTTCTATATATAAGAAAAATGTGGTATTTGTATTTCTGTGTCTGGCTTATTTAGCTTAACGTTGTGCCCTCCAATTCCATCCATTTTGCTCTAAATAACCTAATTTCATCTTTTTTGTGGCTGAGCAATACTGTAGTGTACATTTATATTGTGTTTTTTCTACCTATTTATTTTTCCCAACATGAGTGGTTTGTGTCGAGGGGCAATATGTACCTACATGAATTCATCTCGAGATAGTTGAGATGCAAACCTGTTTTTGGAGTTCTAACATGTAACTGAGCTAATCCCATGGCCACCTTTATCCTGATGGGCATATCAGAGACATTTTCAAAGCCCTCACCCCATTTGACATTTATAACAGTTTCTTTTTCAGCATCAGAGCTGTTATTAATGTTAACAGTGACCCCATTTATTCCCTTTCCTTGGCCTC